TCTTTCCCTCTCGTTGTCTCTCCTCTCTAGCAAGCACATGTGCTCTATGGTAAAAACAAAAAAGTAGCTAGTATCTATGAAGCACTGACATGTCAGACATTGACTCACTTAGTTTTCCTGACAATGATGTGAGGCAAGGAAACTGAGGGTCAGAGATGAGGCTTACACAGGGCCTGGTCTAGGGCCCGCACTTGGACACCACCAACTTGCTATGCACCTCTGGGCCAGTCACACTCACTGGGTCCCCATCTGCATCCTTGTATGTAAAACAGAGAACTTCCAGCCCTGTGTGACCTGGGAGTTATGGGACTCAAGAAAGGCATCTTGAGGGGCCAGTGGGTGGTGTGGTGGTTAAGGGTGTTGGACTCCCACATGGCTGACCACAGTTCGAGTCCCAGACCTGATGGCTTGCTTACTCAGTTTCTCTCTCTCACACACACACTCTGTCCATCTCTGGTCAAGTTAAAATAAATAAATGGAATTAAATAAAATAATTTTTTTTAAAAAAGCATCTTGGATGGGACCAGCAGTTAGCATAATCGCTATGTCACTGGACTCCCACGTAGTCGACCGTGGTTCACGTCCTGGACCGGGTGGCTTAAAAAACTCATGCTGGGCGCGTGTGCGTGCGTGCCCAAAATCCCGAGAGGAAAATGGAGGAGAAGGGATTGCGGCGTGGCCATAACCCCTGGGGGGTGATTTCTCGCTTTCTGTCTCTCTGTCTCTCTCTGTCTGTCTGGCGAGCGCATGTACCCTATAGCAAAAACCTCCCCAAAAAAAAAAAAAAAAGCATCTTGGAAGATTACACAGCGCCCCTCTTTTTAAATTTTATTTAACTTTATTTATAATTACTATTATTTTCCAGTTTGATCAGAGAGACAGAGAGAAAGAGGGAGAGAGGGAAAGTGAGAAAGCAAGCCACCACATCTGGAACTCGAACCACAGTGGGCCATGTGGGAGTCCATGCCACCTGTCAGCTCCACAGCTCCCCTTTCTGACAGTACCCTGAGGGGGTATCTCAATGCCACCTTGCCAAGGGCTTTCTTTTCTTTTTTTTTTTTTTTTTAAGAGGTTTTTTCTTTTGGGGGGGGGGTTTT